AATAAGATCGATAGCATTATATAGCTGCTTTATGAGACATCTCGCTCGAGGAGTGATTAAGCCCATCAGCGGTACTTGCGTGCGCCTCATGTGGTGGGCAAGGATTTATTATCTTTTTTTTGTTACGTTTCTAACAATCTTAGTATACCCGTACATACTCTCAGCAATGAGGAATAACATATCTTCCCAGTACCTGGACCAGTGAGTTTTTGACAATCCTACAATAAATTTTGTTTTAATTTTCATAAGCTTACTATTTAATGGATGGCTTACGAATGATTCACTCGTCTCGAGACCCCTTCCCCTGAATATAGCCACATCCTTGTTCGGAGTTGTTGTTGCGCATTTTTCCATGATTTCACCTGCAGGTTCCATTCATCCTTTGCACCCTAGTTTTAGAGCGGAAATGCGGGTTACGGAGTTGTCGTCAACGGAAATCTCTTCTTTTGGATGATGAGACAAGGACACCTTTTTTAGGACCGTTTTAACCCTGCCGTCCGCATAAGCCTACTTAAACCCTACCCTGTGTGCAACAAATACACTGGCCATCCGTTATGGGTTAATTAACCCTTTGACGACCGTATGGCCGCCGGCGGGCCACACCAAATCGGTCGTGTGGGACCGTATGGCCTGGCGGCGGGCCATGACAACTAATTTCTTGTATTTTCTCCCTTCTTACATTTTTGGAAATTTTGTTACTAAATATGTTCACAACACCCTAACAAGGTTATGTACACAGTGGTCCACGAATTGCTTCCTTCTAGGGAGGAATCCAGAAACAATAGGCCTAGAAACACTTCTAATGGTAGTGTTGGTAAAAATATCATCATGACCCACAAAATAAGAACCAGCACCTGTGGTGATTTTTGAAAAAGTGATGTTTACTGCAATTTTTGCCACACTAGTAATATTCTTTGCATGGTTCAGTCGATAGGACCGAGTCATTGTTGTCATTAGGGTGTAATACAAATTAGATTTAATACAAATAGCATGTAAGTAAAAGTGAGAGTTCTGGTTGCTTCAGGAAACGGGTGCCCTGTCAAGAAGGCTTGCTATACTAAGGTCTCAATTGAAGCCTCTAAATGGGAATTCAGTGTGTGCTAGTAACCGTTTACTTGTTATTGACACCACAGTGACTAAAGAAAGAAGCCTGAAAGAAGCATTTGTTTCCAAATTTAGTCGATTTTTGAATGCAAATTTTGCTCAAGAAATCAGTTGTTTTCGGTAGCTGCAACTTCACAGTATTATCGAAACACTTCTGTTACACTAATATTCTGAGGTGTTTTTCATTGGCCTTTTTCAGAACATTCCTAATAATCCATCTGCGTTACAATGTATGGTTGATTAGTACGACGACTTACCTCAGAAAGTTTGCAATTTAACCAATTGTTATAATCAAGCAAAAATGCGGTCTCCTGGGACCGCATGGCCCGCCGGCGGGCCACGTGCGTGTTTGGCGTGCGGTCCCACACGCTAGACAGACGCTAGACGTTTAGAGCGCGCGGTCGTCCATGGGTTAAAAGGTGGTGTTTACGACAAGGTACGTGCTCACCGTCTAGAGGTGGGGTTAACGATTAGAAGGCAGCCCATTAGAATCAAAGGAATCTTCCGCGAAAAAAGCTCCGCCTCCATTACTACAGAAAACCGATACCCCTTAGGCCCCTAGCCTCATGAGCATAGCAAAAAGAACGGAACATAAATGTTAGTTTCGATAATAATAATACTACACACAAGACAAAATGATCACTCTTTCCGTAGAAGATTCCTCTAATTGTAAGGTAGAGGTGGACAGTGGTGCCGGATGAAGAAAAAATTATGAAGAATGGCTCAGAACTCGAGAAATTGGACATCTACCCAGACTGTTGACTTCCGCATTGATGTGACTCTCATTTGGGATCAGCCGCCAGTTCCGCAAAGAACAACGAGGGGATCGTAACCGCAAGTACCATTCACAAAACTAGAACTGCCAAATCGTGGCTGAGTGGCAAGATTTTCAACTGTCACTGCGACTTCGCACCGCTGACGATTGAATGGGGCATCCCAGATCGAGACTTCCTACCAAAATACATCGTGTTTCAGTGAGCACAAGCGAAAAATCCTCTTAGAGAAACTTCCATGCTTTTATACCATACCAAAGTGGACGAAGGTGCAATTCGGTGGATTGACCTCAAGAGTTTTAGTAGAAAGCTATGGCTGGAGAAAAGTTTCCTTTCTAGCGTATGCTATATAGAACTGATCTTTCTGATTGCAGTGGTCTTTACCACTTCTCAATGTACCACTTTTGAGAAAACTTGTGGCCGTTTGAAGGTTGAAAATTCGCGTTTCAAGTGAATGGCCTAAAAAGCCGTTGAGGAAAAAGCGGAACAAGAAGGCGATTTTTCCATAGAGTGGTGATTTAGAAAAATCTATGCTTTTTCGAAAAGGTCAATCTTCTACTTCCAATTAGCTTTGAAAATCTGAAATGTTAATAATGAAGGAAGTTATGAGCCTTTAAATGATGAAAACTCGCGTCTGCACAAAAAAAAACGGAACAACGGGATTATTTTTTGAACAATTGAACATTTGAATAAGCTTAAAACTTTTTAGAAAGGAAGAAATTTGGAGATTCTAAATTTTTGTCTCTCATCTCATGATACCGCTTCTGAAGAAAGATATGACCTTTTGAATGGGGAGGTTTGTATCGTAACGTAATCGCTGCAAGGTTCGGTTATTCACTTGAAAAGCAAATTTGCTACCTTTAAAAAAGCTTGGTATGTTTCTGAGAATAGAAATCTCTGCGATTACTGACATGCCTAAGTTCACGCAAAAATTTGGATACCGCTTCTTTTTAATGAGTGAAATTTCATGTTGCCTCCATCCCCGTCTTCTGAGCGAGGCAAGGCGCGCAGAATTAGTACCACTGACCACACCTCCTCATGTCGGTGACGGCCCATACACCGATGATGGGTCTAAAATATGTAAAAAGTCACATTAGCTAACGACGGGGGGGGGGTCGTAAAAATTTTGAAAATTGCGCAACGCACGGTTGACCCTGCTCTTATCGGTGCTGCTCTGATGAAGGCAATGCTCTCTCTCTCTCTCTCCTCCTCTGCTAAACGGCTACGCCTCGCGGCGAATGGTTAGCCAGTCAGTGCGCCGTGCCGCGACGATAGCGCCTGAGGGACGGTCATGCCAGGCTGCGATCGCGTGCCGAAGGTACGCCTGTCTTTCCCCAGGGTAGCTTTCCCCTCTTCAACCTTATCGGAAAATCCTTCTGTAATATTTATATGTGCCAATGGAAGCGGGAGCCACGGCAAAAGTGAGGGGTACCGCATTTTTCGCGGCAAAAGTTGCAGCATATCCCAACTTTGAAACTAAGAACCGCTCGAAACTGCTCAATCAGCCGTTAGCGGTACTGCTTTATGTGCTGAGCCTTGGAAAATGCACTTCTTTTCAAGAAATGGGATCGACTAGAGTGGATGTGAAGAATTTTGCTTGAATCAGTACTTTCATGCTATGGAAAATGAAACAAAAATATTAGGTACCGGACATCTTAGTGTCGCTTTTCTGAGTTCAGGAAGTTTTGGGGCCGATTACTATGGAAAATCGGTATCTCAGAAAATCCTTTTTGCTCATTCATACTGCGAAATATGTTGCTTATTGTTTTTATTGTTGGTTCACAATTTAACTTCCCCTCAATTTTTATACTTTTTTTTGAAAATTCCTGGGTCCAGTGTGCAAATTCGCATGTGTGTACCAAATGCTTCAAAATTCTTGCTGTACAACTCCTGCCCACCAAACCAACATTGCGTTTGTTGGAGGGGATACTACCATTTAAAATGCTAATCGGCTTTTCATACTTCTCTCAAAATAGTGAAGTCTTTAAAGTGATGCCCGCAATCGTCGTCAAAAAGGTGGCCCTAATTAAAGCAACAGTCCAGGCAGGGTTTCAACTACTTGGTCATTAGGCGGTCAAAACATGCCCCAGCCCAACTAAAGTTTATAGGAAATGACTTTAATTTCAAAGCCTACCTCTAAAAATTGCGCTGGAAGGGGTCGAAGTCCTCTTGGAGGGGGCGGATCACCCATAAAGAGGCGGATCGTCCAACATACGCTGTGCAGAAACCGCGCATGACTAGCGATCGTTGCGGGACCGCCGCGCTGTATGAGGTCGATTCCATAAGAACGCAATTGAAGCGCTTCAATTTCGATTGCTGGCAAGTAGTTATGTATTTGCAAGCATGCAGCTATTTGCCAGCAGTTGCAATTAAAGCGCATGTACTACGGGCAGGTTCGGACAACTCGTCCAACACACGTCTCCCTGAACGGCAGGGCATGTACCTGTCTAAGCCCCAGTTGGGCGTTTTCTTCACGTTTTCTCTTTACGTTCGACCACTTTTCACCTATAACTTCCATAGGTGCTTTTGGCCCGCAAATTCGTTCCTGGACTTGCTTTAAATCAGTCGAGACGGGGCTGCACCAGTCTTGTGCTGAAATAGTAGGACACCTTAGCAGTGAGTGATCGATGATGCAAAAACGCTTCAACGAAGTTGATTGCACAAGGAATTCTAATAAATGTGCTCATCTGCTACTCACGTGTGCTCGAAAAGGGTGCGCTTTTGACCCCATGTGACAAAAAAGACTCCGGGAAAAATTGTCCAGTTGAGCTGGTAGGTTGTAACTTTTCCACCATACAGTGGAGACCCTACTCTAACTAACTATATACTTCTTTTGTCCAGGCCTAACTCAGCAAGTGAGAGGGATGATCTGTCAGATAATGTCGAAACCGACCTACCTCTCATTTTCGACTCAAAGAATTCCTAGCTTTTATCGTAGGAGGTTTCAACTCATACTGGTGAATGGGAAAAAGCTATTGGGTCATTCGATGAATATGCTGTTCCACTCCCCGAATTCTGAATTAAAATATTGGTGGTCCGAAATTCGTGGTGAAAAAACGACACTAAGTTATCCGGTACCTAATATTACGGGCTAAAACAGAGAAGTTCCAAGATGGCACTGCTTCAGGTGATGTTGGCGCTCATTAATGGCTTCAATTGACTGACCTCATCAACCCACTTGATACCTTCAACCATTCTGTAGCGTTCTTGCTCGTTGAACACTGGTGGGCCTTTATGCATCGTGATCTGAACAAACGATCTATTGTGCATTGATTTTTGTTTCCTAATCGTTTTTTGTCCCATTTATTCGTTGCGTCACGTTTTCGGTGTATTATGTTCTTTTCCATTTTTTTATTTTTTACTTGTATGTGTTTTCTCAGCGTAACTCTTGTATTGGCTAGTGACACTGCTTTTTAACATTGAATTATAGTGCCGCTGCCGCCTCATGCTACCCTCCTAATCGGTTAACTTTTACCTGATTTGTCTGGGAAAATGAAAGCAGTGACCAAATTGCTCCCAAAAGCCACTACAACTTCGAGTAGAAGGAGTATGCGTGGTGTATCCCAAAATGATTTGATCAATGCCGATGCCTTATCGTTTATCCTTTCATGTATTTTCTCATTCATTGAATCTTTGGTAATTTTCGCTTTCCTTCTCAGTAATGTTTTTTTCTGTTCGCAGTTGTATGCGAGCCAAATGTTATCACAAGGATGATGAGTTATTGGGTATGCCCATTGCCGCGGATGGAACACGATCCCGAATCACGTGTTTCTCGGCTAGAGCGTAAAGGTTACAAGAGTTCTGGCAACCAAAGGGTTAGGACGTAGATGGAAAAGCGTACGCTTTTGTTCATACTAGGACTGAGCCTTTTATAGGGAGTGAAGAAGCAGAGATGCTGTGATAGTGTGCACATGTGATAGCTCCCAAACAACACTACAAAACGCAATTGCCTAGTCTCTTGGCTGACAGATGTTCTAAGACTGGAGCACTAATTGTCTCTTACACCATTGTCCCATTCCAATTTGAATTCCTGCGACATTTTTACCTAGTTTTTACAAATCACACGTAGAACGTGGCGAACTTCGATCTGGGCAGCAAAAAGTTCTCCTTATGACCCGGCATCCTCTTGATAAATCCCGGACAGTTCGTGAAAAATTGCCATTCGTGGCGGGAACCGACCTCTTCATCGTTGTGCACGCCGACAATGAGTTTCTTGCCAAATTGTTTTGCTTGACGTAATTGATTAGCGTGACCGAAGTGTACCATATCATAGCTGTAACAAAACAAATAATTGTATTGACCCTCGTCAGAATTTGAATCGTTTGTGTAATAATAAATGAGCTGAGAGGGTTTTCAGCCATCATGAAGGCAATCATGTTCCTACTTCCTGTTCGTAAGGTCAAACACATCAAACATCACTCATAGTAGGTAATAGAAAGGAAAAATCCTTTCTATGGCAGATATTCCATAAAATTAACGACGTACGATTAATTTTTCACAAGTTCGACGTCATTTCAGTGATTCACATCTGTGAAATAGGATCTTGGTTACAGGTTTCCTGTCACTTTTCGCATTCACTACGGCACTCATGGTTTGGACGGGAGGAGGGAGGGGGAAGGGGCATTCAACGCAAGATGGGGCCTTTAAAAATGGCGATGAAGTGACGCTGAACTAAGCCCAGGAGAGGGGAAACGTCAAGGACAAAGTAAATTACTCATATCATCTTTTGGAGTACTCCTCTTACCCAGGGCTTAGAACTAGGTACTGCAAGTAGCTTACTCACATGAATGCCCTCTCTTTCGTGTCCGTAGCTTTAGAACTGAAAGAGAGAGAACGGAAGTAAGAGTACGACAAATTAGACTCCCGGTTTGGTTTAGTTGGAGCTTCAATAGCCTTGAAAAGGATCTGAAAGGCAGATATGTGGGATTATTACTGCTTTAGAAGGTCGTCAAAGTAGGATACGCCAAAACAAGTGTAGTCAAGTTTTTTTTTTAACATCCTGAAAACTGGACAATTAAAAGAAGTGTAATAGGTGCATCGTAAATGTACCACACATTTGCCTTGATTTTTGCCTACTGTTTTTATGAGGTGTGTGTAATACGGCTCAAGAAAAACAATAGCTTACGCATGGATCGTTCAATGTTATCATTCATTTGTATCAACAATTATTATTCAAAATGGTTCTGGTGAACTGGATATTGTGAGGTGAAAGTGAGGACTTCCTTCAGTGGCTTTGAAAGTAGGACGCTACATTTTACGGGGATTTTTGAAGAGCTTCAAAATGTTCGCAACAGGATTGCGAATGAAGTAATCAAGTAAATAGATAGAGGAAATCTTGCGGGTCTCAATAATTTTACGTGTTGACATTAGATTTCATAATTTTGCTCATATCAGAAACTTAGAAATATCAGGTGTTGAATATGCTTTATGAATTCAAACTAGGTGAAACTATTTGTTTAGTGTATAATTAAACTATTCTGGTTACTACACTTTAAGTTCTCTCATTATTTTTATTCTGACTGAAAGGCTGTTTTCAAAATGTCGTCCTATTGTTACTAATTTTTTAACTGGATTGTGTAGTTGTAAGCGTGAGTGTTCAGCTGCGTTCGTTCTCTAACCAGAACCTGTTTTATGTCATTGGAAAACAGCCAAAGCGGAGTTTAATATGAGACAGATGAAGAACATGTTTTACTGCTTCTTTCATTACTGCCTACTTGCGTGTTTGTAATTAAAAGAGAGAGAAGGAAAAATAACTGGTGCAGCATATAACACTTTTGTGGTTCCCAACTAAGAAAGATAACGGTTACGGTTGTTATTCTTTGTGTGCGACACAGGTTTTGTACATCGAGGCATTGTACAAGGCATCGAGGGAGGCTGTTGAGTGAAGAGCGGTGGTGCTGGCGGAGTTGAGGTAGGTGACCCATTCTTGGGGTTTCCAGTCGTTAGTTCATTAGCCTGCGTGGTGCTTGGTCAAATGTAGATAATAATGAGCGGATAGGTAACATTTGAGTGTTTCAAAACGCTTTCAGGAGTTTGAGAACGATGAGTTAGCCGAAACGTCAGTCTCAATAAAGTTTCCACCGTACAAAACCTGTGTGGCACACAAAGAATAACAACTGTTTAAGATCAAAATGCCCAGGTTTCAAGAAAGGCGGACATGGAGGATAATGGTTAAGTTTGACAAAAACGATGAACATGAAAATATTGGGGGTGAGGGAGGGGGGAGTGAGTGGGGAAGTACAAAGAATCAGTTTACGCATGCCCCTAGGCAAATGCCAAACTGCAAGATGTCCTCAAACCGTGCTAAAGAGTGGTGGTGGGAGCGGGGAAAGCGTCGAAGCAGCATAATATAAAAGGGTCGGAAAAGCGGACAAGTAAAATTTTTCGTACTCTGAAGAGAACCCAGGATATGCTAAAACTGGTGGTCAGAGAAATTAGAAATGAAGAAAAATGAGGCCATTAAAAGACTCACCAGCCATCACACCATATTCGATCGCCTTTTGGGCCGCCGTCGGGCGCCTGCATCACGTTCGGCTCTAGCTATGAATATTAGCAGACAGAAATTGGCTGCGATTGTTGGCAGAAAGGTCAACAATGTCTAAATAAGGGTCGATGGCAGAATTGATGCCATTGAATCGCCCCACGATAAGATTGCTTATCACTAATGGTCGTTTGCCCTAATAGATACACACACACAAATTGTGACCTGACCGGGACCGATTGATGCAATGACGTGAAGAAGACAGAGTGAAAGTGTAGAAATAAGAATGACTTTGAATGACTCTATTCCTACAAAAAGAATGACTAATTAGTACTCACTCTGGTTGACTAATAGTAACTTGAATGAATGAGGTGATTACTCATATGAATTGCATTGTTGTAGAGACGCCCCCGAATTCGTTGACGAGGCCAAATCAAAAAACTGCCTTTGTTTTTCAACGATGGCTGATTTCCCTTTAGTTGGTTCACAGAAAATTTCCCATTATTGTTTGTTTGTTTATGATTACTCCTAGGGGTGTTATGACAGAGCAAGTAGCAGGAAAAAGGCTCCTTGAAACATTGACGACTGACGTTGCGTGCACATGTACCTCTTTTTAACGATTTTTTTACGATTAATAATCATTAATTCCAATAGATTTATAATTGGTAATGAGGGTAGTGTATTTTTGTATCCGAAAATGGATATGAACAGTTTTGGATCATGAAAGTAGAGGCACAAGTCAACCAAAACGAGTCTCGTCCGTGTGAAAGTGCGAGACACATGTGAACCGCGCTGTCGTTAGGGTGCTAAAAGTGATCTCTGGTCAGAAATCAACAAAAAAGGCTTAAGGAAACAAGCATATGCTCAAACACTACTCGCAGTTTAGGTTTTCTGACAGAAACAACTCAAAAAAGGTCCAAAAACAATTTTACTAGTACATACTGAAGAAGCAAGAAACATTACGTCGTAATGTTGAAAGACCGATTTGAAAAGGAATTGATTTGCATGATCTTTTCAAAACAATGAAAAAGTCAATTCATCAATGTCAATTCCGATGTTTTCCATTCCACATTGTTTACTATTCTGTTCATAAATAAATACGAGTGATTGCGAACCTCATAGAGGTGTGTTGGCGGTGAGAAATGAAGTCGCGTTGCGTGAACAAATGTTTCTCGGCAACGCTTCATCACTATCAAGTCTTTGTTCGATTTCTTCAAAATCACCTGACTTTACAACTGTTGGTTGAGTAGTTGAAGAGCTTATAATTCATCTACATGGGCAAACAAAAATCAATACGTAGATGCTTGTGCTAAAAAACAAGTCAATTGATTAAATATGGATGATTTTCGCAAAGCTACTATATGTGAAGGTTGGTGTAGGGACGCGGTTTAGTATGAAAAATTTCGGGTTTCTCACCTCTACAAAGTCCAGGGGGTCTACAGAAAGTGTGAGAGCGAAACGGCACAGTGTAAACATGCGAAATGTTGCCATTCAAAACGCCCTGAGATGACTTGACGTGCGCGACAGGTGTCGTCAGAGGGTCACTTCCTATGCCACAGTTGGCACGCGTGCGCTCTCTCTCTCATGGCTTCGCCCACTTTCTGAGATATTGCTGGCAGCAACAGGGTTCACGTTTAACCCATAAAATTCACGTAGCACCTGTGGAAGTTCAGCTCTATTCAAAGACGAAGACGACAATTCGTTGAAGTCGGCTTTCTTTGTGGTGGAGAAAGTTTATCGAACTCTCCATGAAGCACACATGGCGGTGGCTTTTTTGTTCTTCGCACTACTTTTGCAATGGCATGTGAATCGATAGCGCACTCCTGCATCGCACAAGCCGAAAATTGCTTCAAGAAAGTGCATGAGCCTAATATTCGCCTGTAATTTGGTGCCAACACCTCTACAATCACCCTAGGGTTGGCCAGTCGGCAAGAACAATCCTCTGATATGCACCTGAATACTCGAAAGGGCGTATAAAGCACATGTTTTCCAGCTCGTGCATTTGCTTCATTAACCGACCAGAGTTCAGTGATTGAGCTGCTCCTTATCTACATCTTTGCCGCATTAGACCTTCTCAGTTGCGAGGAGAAGAGGAAATTGGACCAATGATTTAAATTAATCATTTTGCAATCGCAGATGGAATACAATGCATTCATAAACTTCGACTGGCGGACGGTATACCACAGAGCAAAAATAGCCTATGATTAGGCTCAAAGAACGTCCACAGCACTAACGGGAAGCCATTCGATTCGGCCGCCTGTGAAGTGCTCTGGAATCAATAATGGCCGCCCGCTAGTGACTTCAAAAAAGAAAATCTGGTCGAAAATAAAATGAGGTCAGAAAAAGTTCTGTTTCAAGCTACACTTGCTTGAGCTTGAATTCAATTGAAAGGACGAATGGTAGACTAAGTGATCATGTCCGTGAATTAATCTGATACGGTTGAGCTCGACGAAAGATAAAGGGTATGGGAATCCGGCATCGATTATTCTCCTCCTGGGATGCGCCACACATTCTGTTTTGGTTGGGAATAGTAATGACATTTGGATGCGATTGACATACAATTTGGGCTTGACGGCCAGAGGAGAAGATGTGAAATCTTTGTATTTCGTAAGAAAAAGTCTGGGGCGAGTAAACTATGTGCGAATTATTGAAGCCTTACAGCATGACCTCAAACCTAGGCTGATTTCACCTTTAGACCGCGCATCTGGTAATTGGAGCCACTTGCCATGAAACTACTTCCAGTAGTTATGCGGAATATTACTATAAATTTCAAAAGAAACTGTGTTGTGAACAGAACATTCGCCAAATTGGGCCAACCCTCCTCCCCTTCACCTTTCGCTTACCGGGCAACTGCTTTGCAAGTTATGCTATGCTTGGTGCGGAGCTTTATTTATAACCTAGTGTTCCTGTGAAAGTTGCAAGGCGAACTGCAGCTAAAAACAGCAGTGATGAAGGCTATGATGCCGTTCAACGACTTCGTTAAACCATCTTGTAATAGAAATCGTGCATTCTATATGAAAGAGTTTATTCGGCTTTCAAATCTGCTGTAGTGTGGAAATAAAAGCGACTGCACATCTTGACCTTGCTAGCATCATAAGCAGCTGCTGAGCGATGTATACTGAATTTCAATAATTTCAATTATAATTCCTATAATGAAAACAGTATATCGACAAATATCTATGAAATAATGCTGAGATGAGATGGAGCTTGAACTGAATATTGCCGCTTTCCGTTAGGCTGGTTTAAAGTCCGCTATCTGTCGCTCGATTCGAGGGATTACTCTGGCATCAGCCTTATCTTTTCTTGTGAGTGCCACGCATTCCATCTCCGTTCTGCAGAATCATTTGATGGGTTTTTCCTATGCAATGGCGTAGGCTGGACTGTATAGGTATAGTGGGGTACATGGAAGTATTTTTATCACCGCTAGCGATGGTTGGTTGAAATGGAACGACTCTGGATTACGGAAACCTAGCTTAGTGGAGCTAAATCCAACATAGAATTTGACCCGCGAACCTTCACAGGGAGATCGGACTTCTCACTGCACTGCCTACCCCTGAGGGTATGGCCGCAGCCTGTGCTGTCGTTGCTCTCTATGTCGTTCAGAAAGACGGCTCTTGCATTCGTCCTTGCAGTCTGCCACAACGTTTCACCAATTTTTTCCCTGGGATTTTCTCTCGACGGAGGAGCACAACGTGATGTAGATGCTCTCCTTTCAAAGCTCTCACTGAAAATTCTGGCTTGACACCTAAGGGCTCCATGAAATCCGTTTGTGACTGATTGCTCTGGCCAAAGGAGTGCCACAAGAATGGCGAAAATTGATCATGGTAGATCAGCTAATCAGTGTTTATTACATTTTTTTTTCGAGCGCACTCCACATGGGTGCCACTCACCGCTGCCTGTTTCTTTCTTCTGCTGTTCCACGGCCTTGGCAGTTCTTATTTTTATCATCGAGCGCTGATTTTTTATCATTACCTTCCTCCACTGTGTGTTCATTTTACATCTCTGCTTTCATTCAATGAAACGACTGTACGAATTTGATCGTTAGATGAGTTTTCAAAGCCAATGGTCAAAGTAGCTGTTTAGCGACGGGATTAGTTGCGTAATTTAGGTGCCACTGATGGAAGGGAGTTTGGTTTTGGAGTTTGAACACCCCTCCCCCCCCCCCCAAATGCGTAGAGGGATGTCGTCCACCAATGGTGTCTATTGTCCTATCCACTGCAACAACCCATATGGGCTGCCATGGTCCCACGAGCACACATCTAACAGGCTATATGGGCCACTCCAGGCGTGAATCTGTTGAGCGGATAGATTTACGTTCAATTTTGTGGTGTATTGTTTTGATTATGGTGTAGATTTGATATCTAACACATTGACAACACTGTGACGCGGCAGCGCGACTCACTTTGTACACCTCGTTGGACATTAAGGCGCGGTTGCGCGTCTCACCCTTGTCATCCCTTTTTCTAGCGTATCCGGGGATTCTTCCCAATTTGCTTATCTCTATTCTATGGATTACAATATAGCATAGGTGGAAACGACATGGGTCAGAGTATGATCGAAAATGTTGCAGTTTAGAAGAGGTTTTTCAAGCACAGCGGAATCGGCAATCGGTTTATTCCTCGTTTTCCTCCTATTCTCGTTAACATGTCGGTAAGAAAGGGTACTGATAGTTGATAGAAACTCAAAGTGATAGAAAAATATATGTTTCACTTGGCGCATCCACATCGAAAATAAATTTGGCATCCACCAAGAAAAACGGATGAAGGCTCCCTTTTCGTTACCATTACATGCTCTTTTAATCGATATTTTGCCACTACATCATCGATAATCTTCTACGCATTGAGTATTGCTGGAATTGTTTCTTACAGTTGATGTTTTTCAGAGTTATCATTCAATATTTACGATTGCTAGGTGCGGCGGCCGCGCTCGCGAGATCGTACCTGTCTCACGTGGCCAAAAAAGCCAAAACGCGCACTGTCGTCAATGTGTTAATTTACCAAGGTAATAGGAAGGTTGGTTAATCTGAGCAGACCTGACTACCCAT